GGTATTGTTCTTTCAGGAGCTACTACCGGTGCACGTACACCAAGTGCCACGTCAAGAAGAGGGTGGAGAGATCCTCCAAAGATTCCAGCCTGGTGATCACCACGTACGAGGGCGTTCACACGCACCACAGCCCCGCGGCCATCCGGAGCGGCAGCGCCGAGTCCCAGTACATGAGTTGCGTTTCCAGGCTCTTGTACAATCACCCCTCCGCCAGCTTTGGCGGCGCCGCCACCGCCACCGGTGCCACCGGTGTCAACGCTAGCAGCAGCATTGCGAATCCGCTCCTCATGAGCCACCACCAACACCACCAATTTGGAATGCTGGATCCCTCTGCCGCCGCCGCTGGATCTGGATCAATCCTATCCTCGGGCCTCGTGGCGGCGAGCTCGCCAATGATCGACAAGGGACTTCTGGAGGACATGGTGAGCTTCTAGAGTCCCTCTTTTTCTCTTCTTCTTGGGGGATATTTTGAAACAAGAGCTTGACAATTTCAACGACGGTAACATCAACACTATTTTGTACATATTTGATTCAGGATAACAAAACTTTCTTTTTAGTTTATATGTTGTCAAGCAAGCATAGCTTTTGGATCTTGAGTGGAGGGTAAAAGGTGTTAAAAAGAGAAAGCGCAGATCTGTGTTAACTACCCATCCCGATCAGAAAATCAATCGCCCACACGAAGTTTCGGAAAAGACTTGGCAATGCAACCTTTCTTTTCGTGTTTTACTGTGCCTGTTTGAGATCGGATTTGCTTGTGTATGTGTCTAGCGACGTGTAAATTCTCTTCGAGCCAAGCCACGAAACTTCGGATAAATTCGTAAAATACAAAAAGGCTTTTACACTTGTGATTGAGGAACAGCTCACTACGTACACAAACAAGATTAAAAGAGCTCGCGTGTAAGCCAATAAAAAATAATCGGGCTGGTTTGACTTTGAAAGGTTGACTGAACGACTGTGTGTGAACTGACTGACTGACTTTGCTGGAAAACGGCGGCATGAGCCGGGTCCAACGCCGGGTCTTTGTCCGATCGAAACTATTTTTGTGTGCTTTCTAGGCTTGCTTGCTTGCTTGCACCAGCGGCAAATCCCAACAATGACAAGGTTATTAATGTAGCAACTCTCGAGGAGACAAACGCGATGGTGAGCACGCGAGTACGGACCCGGGGATCACGGGGAAGTCAAACCACGATGAGGTACGGAATGAAAGCAAGGGGCGTTCCTTCTTTTCGGTTGGCGTGTCCGACGTGTTTGCCCACACCGCCTAATGCAGCGTTGTATTCTTTGAGACTTTCCGCGCGATGGAGACGCGAATTCTCCTTGAAAAGCTCTGGACACGCACGGAACGATGGAGAGATGGTTGTAATCAATCTATTCTTTTGCTGGCTTCGATCAATTTCCACACCGCCAGCCGCTAGGAAAAGCTTTTTTGATGGCATAAAGCGACGCTGTGGATTGTAGCGAATGTGGGCTCCCCGCGAGCTCCAGGATCAAACTTTGATGAAGACCACGCGTCCCTGGGGGACACATACACGCAGGAGCGCCGCCCCCCCGCCCCCCTTTTTCATGGAAGCGGCCCGGCGCGTCAGCAATGACGTCACTGGCAAAAGTGCCACGCTGGCCCTGTGACGTAATTTCCGCCGCAGTGCGGGACCTTCACTGCGCCCTCAAATATCGCATGAAATCGACCTTTGAATTGATGCCAGAGAGGGATCTCGCGCGGCGTTGGACTACGCTGGAATCTATACTATCAGAGGATGCACAACCACATAATCTCAACATTTGCCCAGTGCGGGCATTTGTGCGAGTTGAGGGCCCTCCACCTCGATCCCTGAAATGATTCTGGATTGGTGAGCGGTATATCGCGACGTTCTTACTCGCCGCAAAAAAGAAATGGTCACCGTGCCGCATTTAACCAGATAATGGTACAGATTTCTTACTCGTTTTCTTTGCGTTGCGTCGGCCATAGGTATGATACGAAAACCAGATTGTATGTATGACGTTATTCTTTGCTCAATCACAGTTGTGTTCTGCTGCTGTGTCAATGGTGGTGACAGATTGCCCATCTCCACCATTTTGGCTACAAAGATCCTCATGGGACTGTCCTACGAGATGGACAAACTTTAGCTATAGTTCTTGAAAAGAAAACTCAAGTATAAAACTTTTTTTTCTAAAAGATCCTCACCATTTTTTCAGAATGGAATTTGTCTCAATAACTATGGTTTAACAATTTTAATTACAGATCTTGGTTGTAAACTTGCTTGAAATGATCATACAGTGAGCAAAAGTTCATGAACTATAACTATATATAAGTTGCTCTGAGGTGCATTGGTGGTTTTTGTTTGTGAATGTTAGTTAGAACCTTTCAATTTACCTTGCAAAAGATATTACCTTTCATCAAGGGTACGTCTCAATGTCTTTCCTATAAGAACTTACATTTAGCAATGCAACTCCCTGACGCAGTTAAACTTGAGATACCATCAGTTTATTGTCAAACTTTGCCATCAGCTGCTTGCATGCAAATCAAGTATGTTTCTGGACATGCATTATGCTTACACTGTGGCTCGGCTTTACTTCCACTACCTCGTTAAGGGTACCATCAAAGGTTATGATAGAATTAATAATAATCAGCAAACCACAAGGTACACTATGCGGTGTGAAGCCCAATAATATGCCTTCAATTATTTTTATTGAATATTTGTTAAATTAAGATGAAAGCTGGAGTTTTATTACTTATTAAATTTTGGATCTATTGGCCATTTTTGACAAGTTATGAAAAGCTTTATTGAGCCAAGAACGAGCCTGTTTGTTCGAGAAATAGTCCAACCGACAGTATGTATATGCATATAACTTATAAAACCCTCACTCTTAGTTTTCACTTATACACTCAACCAATCTCAATTACTAAAAAAAGTGGGTTTTCATTTACTTCCAACATGCACCCAATATTTCCATTTGATTATGATGTCCATTCTACAAATTTTTAAATCCTTTTGTGACGGAAAAGACCCTTGAGAGAATGAAATTAACTGGAGTTTATTTGACTGGATTTTCTTATAAGAATAGAAGTCATTAAAGTCAAAGCTAAGTAATTATGTCTTTTGTTATGATTTGGTATTGCTTGTTAATCCAGATATAATATAACCATATGAAAAGAAAGGCATTTTTCAACTTAAGCTCTAAGTGGAATTTGAAAGGAAAATCATGGTAGCAATAAAATGGTGATCACGCCATGAGGCAGTAAACCATAAGATACGGAATGAAAACTTGTCCAATGCTCGATGGAGAGGCGAATTGTCGCATGGAACGTTGGAGAAATGGGGGTATAAAACCGGATTGATCGATCGATACCATGGGAACTGCCAGAGAAAGTTTAAAAGCGACGCAGCCCCCACGTCAGCGCTGATGCGGCTTGTAGACCGCCCGTCCCGCGCCTGGCTCGAGCGAGAGAAGCTTTCCCAGCTGCTGCGATCGTGCTCAAACCTCGAGCAAGGGAAGCAGATCCACGCTCGCGCGCGCCGGATCGATCTCGAGAAGACGCCACTCCTCGCAAGCCTCCTCATCTCAATGTATACCCGGTGTGGGGATCTGGATTCTGCTAGGCAGCTCTTTCAATCGACACCACAGCCAGATATACATGCCAGGAACTCATTAATCACAGCGTACGCCAGAAGCCGAGAAGTTGCCGACGCCAAGAAGCTCTTCGACGAAGCTCCGGGGAGAAACTCGGCGTCTTGGGCTGTCATGGTGACGGCATTTGCCGGGAGTGGTGATTTGGAAACTGCGCTGGACGCTTTTAATCGAGCGCCTGGAAGAACTCTAGCGATGTCCACAAGCATGATCGCCGCCAGTGGGCAGATCGACTGCGCGAGAGAAGTATTTGATGAGATGCTCGAAAGGGATCTAATCGCTTGGAATGCTATGGTCAGTGCGTATGCCCTCGCCGGGCAAATGGATCAAGCGCGCATGGTGTTGGAGAGAATGCCCGCCCACAGCGTGGCATCGTGCTCGCCGTTGATCCACGCCTACGCATCCAACGGCGATGTTGCGAGCGCCAGGGGCCTGTACGGCCGCGTTGCTGGTGGCGAGAGCCCGGTACTTTGTACGGCGGTGGCGAGGTTGCTGTGTTCTTGGGAATTTTTCCAGGAGCTGGGCGGGAGGAATGTGATCTCCTGGACGGCGCTGCTGGATTCCAGCGCGCAGGCGGGCGATCTGGACTGCGCCCTCAGGGTCTTCGAGGCGATGCCGCAGAGGGACGCGATTGCGTGGGGATCGATGATCACGGCGCTCGCGCGCGCCGGGGATCCCGATCGCGCGAAAACGGTGTTTGAATCGATGCCCGAGAGGGATCTCGCGGCGTGGACCACGATGATCAAGGCATTTGGGGATCACGCCGACAATGGGCGCCGCGCGGAAGAGATCTATCAGCGGATGCCCAGCCACGACGCCGTGGCAGCAGCGGCGATGATCACAGCCTTTGCGCAGTGCGGGCATTTGCGCGAGTCGAGGGCCCTCTTCGCGTCGATCCCCGAGTGGAATCTCGATCGGGGCTCCTGGAACACGATGATCGCGGCGTGCGCGCGATACGAGCGCGGCAGAGAGGTAGTCGAGCTGCTGCGATCGATGCACTGCGAGGGCGAGGATCCGGACGAGGTCTCTTTCGTGGCGGCGCTGCTCGCGCACAGCCACACCGGAATGCTGGAGGCCGCGGGCGCGCTGTTCCGATCGATGAGATCGGATCACTGGCTTGATCCATCGCAGGAGCACTATTGGGCAATGATCGACGTCCTGGCGAGAGTGGGAAGGATTGCCGACGCCGAGGAGCTCGTTAACACCATGCCATTTCTTCCCGATGATGTGGCATGGGCAACGCTGCAGAGGATCGATTGCGGTGGCAGCGATGTCGCGGCGGATCGCGCGCTGGGATTGAATCCCAGGAATGGGGTTGCTTATGTTCTCCTGGCCAGCAACTTAAGAAGAACGAAGGAGAATATACCAGAATCTTAGGGCTCTTGCTTCCGGCGCGGCATTATTTGAGTGCGCTATGGCGGTGACGTCTTTCTCTTCCCCCAGATTTGATTGCTAAGAGCGCTGGGGCGATTTCTCTGTTGCAGCTGCCTGCACTCTTCAGTGCGAGGCATTGCTGGAAATTCGCGAGCTGCTGGAATCGGGGAGCTTCTCGCGCTAGGGCAGTGAGGTTTTGGGATCAAAAGAATCGCAGCAGCGGTAGAATCAGCTGGATTGGAGAGCGCTCGATTCCCCGACGTTCTTGCTCGACGACGCGCGAAGAAATGGCGGCAGTGAGCGTGCAGCATTTGCACGACCCCGACTCGATTTCCTATCTCTCGCAATCATCGGCGATCGGAATTGACGAGCATCTCATGGGGCCGCTTGGATTCAGTGTCGACCAGCTAATGGTAACCTCTCTTTCTTCTTCTCTCTTCTTCTTAAGTTCCTTTTTTTCTCTTTGTTCTTCTCAGGAACTTGCTGGATTGAGTGTTGCTTCGGCCATAGCTGAGGTATGAAACCAAAACTACATTTATGTGATTCTAATTTTTTCGTTGCAGGTTTATTCTTCTCTCGATCACGCTCGTGTTTTACTGCTGTGTGGTCCTGGAAACAACGGTGGTGACGGACTGGTGGCCGCTCGCCATCTCCAACATTTTGGCTACAAACCAAGCATTGTTTATCCCAAGAGAACTGACAAGCCTCTTTACCACGGCCTCGTAACTCAAGTAGGATTCAAGCTTTTATCTCTCGGAGTTCTAATCCCTCACTGTGTTTTTCTGTAGCTTGAAAGCTTGTCTGTGCCGTTCCTGTCGCATGAGGATCTTCCCTCGGAGTTAAGCTCCGGTTACGATATTGTCGTGGATGCGATGTTCGGATTTTCATTCAAAGGCAAGAATGCGTTCCCTCTCTGTTTGCGGGTTTAAGTAGTCTTGCATTTCCAGGAGTTCCAAGACCTCCTTTCGACAAGCTTGTACAGCTTTTGACGCGCACGCCAAATGTAGTATCGGTCGATGTTCCATCGGGCTGGCACGTTGAAGAGGGCGATGTTAATGGACTAGGCTTGAATCCAGATATGCTGGTGCGAAGTTTCCTTTCATTTAGATTCAATACTTATCTGTGGACTGTCCAGGTTTCTCTCACGGCTCCAAAGCTTTGTGCCAAAATGTTTAAAGGTCCTCATCATTTTCTAGGTGGAAGATTTGTTCCTCCTGCAGTGGTGAATAAGTTTAACTTGAAGCTGCCGCCATATCCTGGAACTTCTCAATGCGTGCGAATCGGGAGGACACCCCACGTAGATGTTGCGGCTCTGAGAGAGAACTATGTTGGATCCGTTCTGCTCGAGAATCAAGTGAACTCAGATCCCATACAGCAGGTAGAAAGCTTGAGAAAATCTCTGCTGTGACTCCAATCTTATTAACAATGACGAGTATTTGGATTGCAGTTCAAAGAGTGGTTTGAAGATGCCGTGGCTGCGGGATTGCCAGAGCCAAATGCCATGACACTAGCAACCGCCGATGCTGAAGGACGACCGTATGAATTTTTTCGTTCTCTCTTTGTCTTTGTCTTTGATTGTTTATTTCTCCCAGCTCTGCTCGGATGGTTTTGTTGAAAGGCTACGATGCTCGAGGGTTTGTTTGGTAAGTTGTTTATACAACACCCTCTTGTACTTATCAAATCTTTTCTTTCCTTCGCATATACAGGTACACGAACTACGACAGTCGCAAAGCAAACGAACTCAACTCCAATCCTAATGCGTCGCTCGTGTTTTTTTGGGACAGGCTTCATCGCCAGGTCTGTTTTGCCAATTTTTAATCTCTTGTAACGTCGAGCTTCTGCAGGTCCGTGTGGAGGGCGACGTGTCGCCCGTGTCCCGAGAAGAATCCGATGACTATTTTCACAGCCGACCAAGAGAAAGTCAAATTGGAGCACTCGTAAGCTCACAGGTGAAAACTCTTATTCGATCTTCCTGGCAACTTAACGCAAAGTTCTTCATGGTTTAGAGCGCTGTGATTTCCGGGAGGCACATTCTGGACGAGTCTTATGAGCAGCTGGTCGCAAAGTATGCGGACAGGTTAGCACCAATTTCAATTTTGATATGCTAAGCGAGGAGTGCTGGCAGGAGCTTAGCGATTCCAAGGCCGGAGCACTGGGGTGGATTTAGATTGGCTCCGCGTGCCATAGAATTCTGGCAGGGTCGAGAGTCTCGCCTTCACGACAGGTTAGAAGTTTCTTACAGTTGATGGTTGATAAGTTTGCTCTTGGTTTTGCTAGGATTCGTTTCACAAGACTAGCAAATTCCAGCGAGTGGAAGATAGAGCGATTGTCACCATAAGAGAATCTCTATCATCTCAATCAGGACAATAGAGAAATCGATATACACGTTTAAGTTTAATGGTCAAGTCAATAGGAATATCCGGAGCCCCTGATATGGATATGCGAAGATCCCCTGGGGAAGATTCGTCCACTTGCCATTGCGCCCCGGAATATCGACGAGATGGACGACCAGATGCGGCAGGGCAGCTTTAGCGCGTTACTGTGAAAGAGAGGTAAAATTTTTATAAAGAGGAGAAAGAGGGAAGAAGATCGATGGGTGGAAGAGTGATATCCACATTGCGCTGCTCGTGCTTGATCGATTCGTGTATTGGCGGTTCGCTGCCCAGGCCTCAAGATCCGCTTAGCGGGAATCAGCGCCGCCTCCTCTCGGCGATCGCGGAAGCAAAGATTGTTCCTGGTATCAATCGCTGACTCCTTCTCCTCTCTCTCTTTCTCTCCCTTTTCCTGCTTCTCGGAGGAGAGAAGGGATGAATCGATCCCTTTCGGCAAAAAGGGGGGAAAATTTTCATTGAAATATTTCCTTTGCTGCCCTTCCAGAGACCTTGCAAATGGGAGAAGCCGCGGTGGATTTCTGGGCAGGTAAGGCGATACGGTGTCTCTAGCTTCGCTTTGGATGTGAATCTTTGCCTTTGCAGGGTCGAGATGGTTTAATGGCAAGCCCAAGCTCGTCGTGGTTGGCCACCGTGGGTGTGGCAAGAACAAGATCACAGCGCTGGAAGCTGCCGATTCCAGGCCTTCGATCATGGAGAACACGATCACCTCGTTCAACATGGCGGCTGCCAATGGAGCCGACTTCGTGGAATTTGATGTCCAGGTAAAAAGAGTACGAGGGTAGTCTATCTTTTTTTACTTTGAGCTCCTCGTGATATATAACTTCTTTGTGAATTAGGTGACCAAAGATGGACACGCTGTGATCTTCCACGATGATCTGCTCATCACTGATGATAGCGTGAGTTTCTTTAAGAAAAACAAATGAGGAGAGTAGAAAGGACTTATCCACTTATCGTTGGCTGTGTCCACAGGTTGAGAGAGCGATAGGAGATATGACGTTGCAAGAGTTTCTATCCATTGGCTTCCAGAGAGATGGCCTCCAGGTAGAGAAGTTTGTCTCTTCTCTTGTGTCCGAAGAGATTTAATATTGTTTCTTCAGGGTGGAAAGTCGCTGTTGCGACGTGCAAGCGATGGGGCTCTGAGGAAATGGACTGTCAGTGTGGACGATTCCTTGTGTACGCTCAAACAGGCCTTTGAGGAGGTTCATCCCTTCACCGGCTTCAACATCGAGGTGAAGTTCCACGACGTTCTTCCCACGTCAGACGAGGAGCTGGAGCGTGTTATCGGTGCTATCCTTTCGGTAATCTAAGAAGCTTTCGAGCTTTCTCCCGTGCAGAAATGGCTAACGCTGCTGATTTTCAGGAAGTGGAGCAGTACGCCGGCGGAAGAAGGATTTACTTCTCCTCTTTCCATCCCGATGCGGTGGATTTGCTGAGGAAGAAACAGTCGAGATATCCAGTAAGTTCTCTCTTCTTAGCTTTAATTGTTTGTGATTATCTGATCTCTTCGTGTGTGTTTGTAGGTATTCTTTCTGACCGACGGTGGTGTACAGCTTTACAACGATCCTCGTCGGAATTCAATAGAGGCAGCAATCCAAGTCTGCAAGACGAGTAAGCTTCGTTATACTTCGTTTGCTCCAAACTCTGGTGTCTAAACCTTTGTCTCCTCGCTAAACAGGTAACCTCCAAGGGATTGTCTCCGAAGTTAAAGCCGTGCTAAACAATCCCAGCGCAGTGGCGCAAGTGAAGCAAGCCGGCCTCTCATTCCTCACTTACGGCGAACTAAAGTACGTAGTGCGAAATCTTTTTAGTGACCAGCTCTTACACTGTTTAGTTACAGTAACATGGCCGAAGCTCTCCACAAACAAGAAGAGGGTGGTGTGGATGGAGTGATTGTAGATCACGTAACGGAGATGGTCACAGCCGCTCGAAAGATGGACAAGGTGGCCACTGCATCCTCTGGAGTTGATTCTTCGCCCGCTGTTAGAGTCGTGGCGTGATAAACGAAACTAACAAGGGCTAATCCAATTTTACAAAGCTGTGCGTATACATGACAATCATATTACAAAAGAAGTTTTCTCTTTTCTCCGGGCTAAACAAAAAGTGAAAAAGAAAAAGGAGAGCTCCTTACACTTGGGAAAGATATTTTGTCCTCCAAAGTCGATCAAAAGAAGCTCGTGCTGAGAGATATGTCCCGCAAGTTTGCAAAAATCTGTTGCCTAGTCGTGCCGATTTGACGAGCTATGGCCACTTGTTTGTCGAGGGACAGCGATTCATATCTGGAAAAGACAAAAAGGAGTGAGTAAACTAAAAGTTTTTCGAAAGCTTCTTACTCTCTGAGCTGTTCGCTATCGACTGTGTTGTCCGGGCCATGCTTGTGGTGCTCGCCGTTTGCTTGGAATTGCCTGTATGCTTTTGGATTGAGCCCCGCTACGTGCGGCACCAAGTCCACCAGCTTTCGCTGGAGCGTCTGGAGCCTCCGGAACGTGAGCTCGTCGAGCGGAGTGATGTAGCCAATGCCGCCGTCAAGTGTGCCAAAGCAGAGAGCGAATCGATTTGTGCGGGAAGAACCTGGCGTCTGCAGCATTTGGAGCCTCAGGAACTTGGTGACATGAGATCCCAGGTGGAACTCCACCCTGGGGAGTAGCTTCTGTCCCTTCCAGCTCTCCGCGTTCTTGGGAGCGTAGGAGAACACCTGCAAATCATAGGAGGGCAGAAAGGAAAAATGTATAAAAGTTTTACAAGCGAGTCACCTGTATGTTCTTTCGGCTGTCCGAGACGAGAAGGCTCAGTGTACTCCCATCGATCAGAAACTCGGTTGCGTAGCAGTCCAACGAGCCGAAGTCCTTTGCTAGTAGGACTAGTTGCGCTCCCTCTTCCTTCCAGCAAAGAAAATATATGCTCTTGTGAAAGTCGCCAAACAGCACGAAGTTTTTCACCTGCAATGAAAAGGAAAATGTTACAAACGATTAAAACACGAGGAATTAGCTACTTACGATGTTTAGGCTGACAACGTAGAGTGGAGCATCAAAAAACGCTGTCCCAATCAGCTCAGATCCATTCCACGTGTGAAGAATGATTTTCGGTCCTATAGCCAGGAGAAGGTGGCCTTGCAATGCCGCCAAAGCGGAAATGGCACCCTTCAGCTCCTTGGAATAGAGTTCTTTAGCCTGACGTGACAATGCATCGTTATCCAAGTCACAACTTTAAAAGCAGCGAGAGCTTACTTACCCAGACTTTTGGATCACTAGGATCCTCTCCAAGTGAGACGAGGATAATACGTCCCCGAGAAGCAACATCTTCTCCTTGCAGATAACCGGTTCCAATTGCCAGTAGGTTTTCTACTTGTTCCGTTGCTGCATTCTGCCAGAAATTTGAAGCCATCAGTAGCGTGAAAGATGGATAGACTATTTACCTTGATGCTAACAATGCGGACCGTCAAGACGTTTTCCGCGGGCTGGAACTTGATTGTATCTTTGGTTTCCCAAGGCACACCTTGAGCCATTGGTTCTAAAAGGCGAACTTCAAAGTCATCAACTTGGACCATTTTTTGAGGATCCAGGCCATCAGAAGCCTCGCTCTGGTCAATCTGATGGCCAGGCGGGCCATCTGCGGCCGATGGCAGCACGAGAGATGTTGGCACTGAGACCTGACAACAAACCATCACATATCTATAGGGAGTGGAAAAACCTTCTTACCGAGAATGACAAGACGAGAACGTAGATGTTAAGGTCGGGATGGTGTGCCATTTGATGCGGTGTGCCTTTCAACGGGATCTGAGCAAGGAAATGGTAACAGGACATAATGGAGGAACCAACCAACCATATTTACCTTTTGCACTGGCCAGTCATTATCGTAGTTCAAGATATTAGAGAGTCGACATATCTTTAGCGATGCCTGGAGAGACCAGAAAACCGGAGCTTAGCAGATACGTGCACTATATGTGAGCACTAACCTCGTTAGTTACGTAGATAAGTCCATGCTGACAATTCACATTGTGTAAGCTTGTAAACGCTACGATCGGTCCGTCACTGGCCTGGAAAATGCAAAGAAATCAGTCACAGAAAAGAGCTGAAGGACATACCTGTGGATGAAGACGTATTTGCTCACGAAAGATCATCAACCACGTTGGCTTGCCACCGGCGAGGAACAATCCTTGGAGGCCACCAACATCCTTGAAAGGAATGATCTTCTGAACGGATCGGACTTCGTCGGCATTGCTGTCTTCCTCTCCGAGCTCCAAGTCAAGCTGTAACCGTAAGAACCGCAGATTTCTGAAACTTGTACCGTCGCTGGCATGAGCACCACTGTCTTGTCCTTCGTAGATGAATGCTCGGTAAGAGAGAAGAGTTCCGTCACTTAGAAGCACAAACACAAATGGTCTGCCATACTTCTCTCCCCAGGTGTCGACGCAGATATCTACCACCTTGATCTTCGACATTCTTTCCCGTATCTCTTCGGCACCTTCCTCATCTTTGTTCGAAGAGGTATCAACGGGGACCTTGCTAGCAGTTCTATTATCGGCCAGCACTTGAACTCCATATGGCAGTCTCTCTACTCTGTATAAGCAGGCCATGCTCGGAAGCTCCAAAAACTCCATAGTACCGCTATTTCGGCAAACTATGCAGTACATGTCCCCCTGGTCAAACGCGAAGTTTGCATCTGGAACCCCCAGTGTTTGCCACACGTCTCCAGTGGCTCTTCGCAACCAAGGACTGGGTCCTCTGTCGTTGTAGAGTGTACAAGCGCTGATGGGATCAGGAGAAAGACCGAGTTCTGGAGGTGTTGATACAGATACAGTGAGAGTTTCCGAGTCTGTCAGAGAAATAGTAAGCATGCAAACCTTCGATAAAGCTGAACGTACCTCCCACAACAAGCTGACAACTCCCATCTTGCATTCGCAAAAGAACATACGGATCTGCAAACGATGCAGACTCAATAGCATTTCCTGGTTCTCCTACTTGCAAGTCTTGAGTTTGACGGGCTCCATCCAAAATCCGGACTCCCTTCTGATATACTTGGGCAATTCTCCTCCTGCAAAAGAATTATCAGAACTTACAGGTCGAGGCTAACCCATACCTTCCAAACAGGTTTCCAGCCGATATTGATGGGCCCTCAGTGTAATACTCTACAGAGTCCGTAACTTCTCCAAGCGTCTCGCCGGTCTCTAGAACCTGTAGAAGTTTTACCGAACTACTTATTGTGTACAACGTAACAAACATAAACCACCGACCATTGTGCGAGATTCTAGGCTAATAATCAGATATGCGTGGTATTCATCCTTTTCTGCAGGGATTTGACCAGATCTGTGATAAACTGTCCACACGCCTACGCATCCGGGAAGTTTAACCTGAAAAAACAAAGCATAAGCAACTGCAAAGAACAGGAGTGACATGTTTGCCTGAGTGATGAAATCTGGTCGTATCGAGCGACTGATTATGTTAAGCGAGCCATTTTTTCCATGGCCACAGCAAGCGATCTACAAAAAAATTACTACTATAGACAAAATTTTGAAAAACAATAAACGAACCAGGTCTTGTGCGCTACCAGGTTGTTCCGATGGATTCTGAGATCTGCCAGTGATATCTCTGATAGGTCCTATATTGCATAAGGAGTCCCGCACGGAAAATAAGAAGTTCATGTTCTGCAGAAAGAGCGAAACATTCAGATGCAGCACATCAGAAAGACAGATCACCTTTTGTGAATCTGAAACCGCCGACTTATACTGATACAAAGATTGTTCATTGGCATCGTCATCAAGACGCATTCGCTTTGAAGGTCGCACCATTATATCCTCGTCCATTTCGTCGTACTACAGATGAAACATCAGTATCAATAAAATGAGATTACAATTCAAACATACGTCTTCTCCATCATAGCTTTGAGAAAGTGAGTTAGAGGTTGATGCGCTACCAAACTGTACAAGAAGGCTGTCGCCTAGCCGACTTCCGACAAAAAAGAACATGTCCCCTATGGTGCACAAACTCTACACGAAAGGAAGAGTAAGTCCATAGTTTTGAAGAGAAAAGAAAAGAAAAACAAACAATACCGAGGACAATACAGACCCCTTCGATTTTGAGAGCTCAAGCCTCTGCACATTCCTAAAACCAAAAAATATAGGATTTTACAAGGTTTGGTGCTCATTGACAGTACCTGCCATCGAATATCAAGTGCAGATGAACAAGCATTCCTGTCTTCGTTGACAAAAGAGCGGCATCGTATGAGAGCCAAGTTGCATGAGCAGCATCAAGCTCGATAGAAAACTTGGACCTTGGCATCTCCAAGCTGAATAGATCAACATTGAGTCACACGTGACATTCAAGCAGACGTTTACCTTCCAGCAGGTGGAGTGGCAAGCTCGTTAACTGCAACGATGCATGTAGAGACCTGTCCAAAGCTGTATGAGCACCCATTGCCTCAAAGTTAATACATTCACCTGGCTATAGTAAAGAATGCTGTTCGCACAAAGAACTAGCACCCCTCCAATTGGTGAAGGCACCGCTAAAAGGCTGTATGCGTCGTAAGGTAGACCCTGTGTGAGGATTGGTTTTACTCGGGAGAAAAAGCACAATATCGCGAAAACTCACTGTTTGAAACCATAGCCTGGGATGCTTCTTGGTGTTGGTGTTTATGCTCAGCGCTGTTACACAACAAGTATCTCGTCGAAATGTGACACGGCCAGCCCATGTTAGCTCTCTTTCATGAAGAATGGCTACAACTGGTTCAATATATCCTGCGGATGGACGAGCTCCCGATCAGCATGCACCAAGTTTCTCGTTGCTTACCGTAGAGAAAGACGAAGTCCTTAACGTGCATCATTCCCAATTCTTGCAGGTTTACTACATACGATGACTCAATGCGCGCACTGACGATGTTCCCAGATGGATCGTCTTCCTCGACAAGCCCATATGCCTCCTGTTAGTGGTTTTTCACGATCATATCAAAACATCCAGCGAAATATGCAACACAAACGAGCAAACCTGAGCAGCTTTCATCATCACCAACTGGGATTTGTAAATAAGAACTCCAGCGCATCTGCCCTGAGAATCTGCTCGGACTAGAGGACCACCAGGGAATTTTTCGCGTCCTCGTTTCAAGTGTATCCATTCCGGTCCTTCAAAGTAATGCATCGAGCTGGACACACACGCGAAGATCAAACACCTTACAAGAGCTGAGCTATAGGAAACTTACCTCGTCTTGAGCTGCTGGGTTGCATCATCGAAGAACAACACAGAAAACTTAGCAGCCGGGAATGCGAGAATGATAGCATCTCGGTGACGACCGCCGTCTCGACCACGATGGAGAATAGCCATGCTGTCTACAATCCCGAAAAGCCTGACGATCACAATGCCTCAGCCATAGCAGCCATGAACAAATTTTTTTTTTCTCACCGGTATTGGCAAACAAGCTCGAGCCAAGCTGCTGTAATCCCTGACATGAATCCTCCCCTCTTCGCCGACGCCGGGAACGCAACGCAGGCCGATCCAACCAGCTGCTCGCCCCCTCTCGCGCTCTTCTCGTCCCCCTCCTGGAAGCGCACATTGTAGATTTCCAGCACATTGGCCTTGACGAGAACAAGATTGGGGAGGGAGTCCTTCGCATTGCCCGATTTCCATCCTGACGAAGACGCCGGATTCACTGGCGAGTGCGTGATGAAGGCGCTGGCGCAAGCGCTGACACCGGTCGGCCCGTGAACCAGCTTGATCGCGGCATAGCTCATCCCCCTCTCCTTTAGCCCTAAAACTTTACTTTTGTGGAAGGGTTTTAGGGTTCTTGTGCGCGCGATGAAGGTGAAGGTGCTGAGTATCCTTGCTCGATCTATTGCCATTTGTTTTCTTCTTTGTTGTGATCTCCTTGACTGCTGGCTCTCGCGATCGGCTCGGCATTGTAAATCTTAGAGTAAGTTTCTCTCTCTCTTTTTTTCTTTCTTCTCTACGAGACTCGTTTTTGTAGATGGCACGCTGTGGCTTCTTGGACATGGGATGCGCACGACGACGCCTGTGGGATTTGCCGAATGGCGTTTGATGGATGCTGCCCGGATTGCAAGATGCCCGGCGACGATTGCCCTCTCAGTAAGTGGTTTTTTTTTTGTCCTCTGGTGTCTCTATTCTCTGTTTTCGTTTCGCACACTTTGGCCCTCTCTTCGAGCGAGCTCTCTCGTCGAGGGAAGACCCGAGAAGGTTTTCTAGTGCTAGAGCGATCTTCGCAGTGAAATCGATCGATTTTTCCGCAGCTTCTAAGCATGCAGCTGCGAGAGATCTCTTCACTGGACAGAGTCAAGTTTGTTAGTTTGGCTTTCCTGTTTCCTTTGTAGTCTCTGATTGTTATCGTTTGCTACTGACTACCTGTGTGTTTTCTCGGTTGTGATCTACAGTTTGGGGAGCTTGCAATCACGCGTTCCACCTCCATTGTATTCTCAAGTGGGTGAACTCGCAGAGCCCCCGACCACAGTGTCCTATGTGTCGCAGGGAGTGGAAGTATAGAGCATGAGAGACGAATAAACATGACGTCTGTGTGTTGTTTGCCAAAAGTTATCCTTGTGCCAAAAGTTATCCTTGTGGGAGTTGAACTTGGTGGCGAGTATTCTCGAGTCACTCCTGCGCCACCGAATGAGAAACCTTCAGGGTTGGGATTCAAAACACTAGTCTCTCTTGTGAGCGCTAAAGCATGGAGAAATCTGGAAATCTAGAGAGGGCTGAGATGTTATGATGTTATGGGAGCCTGAGACACGGCTACCACATCCAAGGAAGGCAGCAGGCACGCAAATTACCCAATCCCGATACAGGGAGGTGGATAATGGAAGTTTAGGTTTTTTTCAATAGTCATAATTTTTTATTATTTCTTTAACCTGCAACCATTTATTTTTAGAATGTTTTTTATTATCGTGATACACACTTTTTAATGAGATCAATAAATATAATTTTATTTTACAATCAATAAATTAAAATTTTATTAGCCATTGGATTAGTTTCAATCACTCACTTTTATATAAATTAGGGTTTTTGGGTTAATTGATATGTATATTTTGACATTCTATTTTTATATTCCATACACTCACATTGGTGGAAATAAGGGGTAATTTGGATTGTTTTTTAAGAATGTTTAGATTTGGGGTTTTGATTTAAATCTAACTTTTACATTGTCTAGATCTCCCTTTCTTTATAGATTTTTTAATTTTTTTGTTTTTGTGTTTTTTTCTTTTTATTTATCTTCATAGTAGAGTTCCTCCTCTTTTGATTCTAAAGCAACAATTAGTGCAATTGTTCAATTGAATAATCAAACTCAATTGATGGTAATATTCATGACATGTGGTATAATTCTTTCTGCTTTTGCTGCCAATCCCCATATTTGGTTGGAGTTCTTCCATATGAATCATGGGGATAATGTGTATTATTAGTTCAATCACTTTACAATGATTGCACATATCATTATTGGGATGATGCTCAGCATTTGCTTGAGTTTCCTATGTGTTTTTAAAGGATAGCAATGCAATTGTACAATGGTTTGAGCATAGCCATTCGTGTGGATTTGAGTATTCTTTTATACATCTTCAAATGCATATTTGGACATATCAACGGTTGTGATGATGCTTTATAACAATTGCATCGTTTTTATCAAAGGGCATCTGAGTTAGTAATGCAATTTGACATTCATTTCTAAAGCCTCTTACTTTGTGCAAAATCAAATATGTCAAAGTGGATCAAGTTAAGAATGTACATGTAATGAAAAACAGAAAAGGTAACATCTTATAACTGTGAGACACAAAATCCCTAGACCCCAAAGTGGAGCTAAAAGGGTGCCACGTGGTAGTGGCCGAAGCGAAAGCCAAACGAGCGTAACATGTTTGGACTAAAAACTCCGACTTGAAAAGGTCAAGAGCGGGAGTGGAACTCCCAACGAAGTGCTCAAGGAACAAGCACAAAGCGAGCAATGAGTGAGTCTCTAGAAAACATGACATGTGGAGGACGCGAGATAGAGTCCGAGATGGACCCGAGATGGAGTCCAAGATGGAGTCCGAGATGGATCCGAGATAAAGTTCAAGATGGAGTCTGAGATGGACCTGAGATGGATCCAAAATGGAGTCCAAGATGGAGTTTGAGATGGACCTGAGATGGACCCCAGATGGATCCAAAATTGAGTCCAAGATGGAATTTGAGATGGACCCGAGATGGACCCGAGATGGATCCGAGATGGAGTTCGAGATGGAGTCCAAGATGGACCCGAGATGGACCCAAGATGGAGTCCGAGATGGACCCGAGATGGAGTCCGAGATGGACCCGAGATGGATCTAAGATGGAGTCTGAGATGGAGTCCAAGACCGAGACCAAGACCGAGACCGAGACTGAGTCCAAATCTGAGTCCGAGACGAGGACCGAGACCGAGTCCAAGTCCGAGTTCGAGTCCAAATACTAATACAGGCAATTGGGTGGAGTCCAAGATGTAATTGGGACCGAGACCGAGACTGAGTCTAAGTCCGAGTCCGAGACCGGGACCAAGACCGAGTCCGAGTCTGAGTTTGAGTCCAAATATTAATACAGGCAATTGGGTGAAAGCCCAAAGCGATCATCCCCCGGCTGCAGGGGGTTCCAAAAGTATAGTAGGGAGAGTGTGGGGGTTGGAGCCCAGTGGAGCCAATTTGACCAGGAAAGGCCAATTTGGCCCAGGAAGGTCAGATTTAGTGTTGGGTGATGAATTGACCACTAGGAAGTCCAAGACTAGAGTGAATACGGATCGACAAGCGGGGTAGTTTGGTGAAGTGTTCAAGAGTCGGCTCTAGTTCCCCCTGGGAGATCGAATGGTCGATGCTCCCAATCTAAGTGTGGGTGGCACTACCTACTTAGATACCAGGCATGGCTCAATGGAACCTCACTCTAAGCCCATGGCTAGAGCACCCAAAGGCAAAAAGCAGGAAGAGTACCCATGAGGCCCACATAAGGCCACGATGTTCTAAAATGTTGTCCTAAAGTCCCAAACTATGAAAAGGAAGAGGAGTAGCCCTCTGGGGTGGTGACCAAGGACATAGTCACATGGTGAGGAAGTCTCAAAGGACCACAGGACTTAATGTTTGGGCCTATGGGCCTTGATCTAGTGGCAGTGTTAGCGAGCACGGCCATGGACAAAAAGGGACTTGGTGAGGACCGAAAAGGAGATATTGGGGAAGGTTATTCCCCATGTCTGCAAGCATCCTAACGATGCTAAGGAGTGGATCTAGGATAACCACTTATGGATGGATGGCCTAATCTTGGAGAGACAGGATTGCAATGCAGGTGGTATTGGACCACTGATGTGACCAAGGTGAATGGGCATGGCCTAGTGTAACGGGCTGTTATGTTGGTGGTACTTTGGGGTGTCGATCATGGGATTAGACACGTGGAGCACTTGGACTAAGTGCAAAGGTTGAGTGGCATGGATGCCATTTTCGGGGTGAGCAAGCCCCAAGTCTGGAATTGGACTTATGAAGGTTGTGAATAAGACTTTTCCAAGTGGTCGGAGATATGGTTAAGTGACTAAAGTAGAATGGAAAAATTAGTCGCTTACAATAACATTATGCCAAGGGAAAAGTATCATCAAATGTGGCTAAAGCAAGTGCATGCACAAGTCCTACAAAATCATGAAGAAGTGTTGGCCACACCTTCAACTCCACTTTTTATAAGAGATAATTTTATTCTAATGGAAGTTTATGCTATTGCTACCTAAGTGTAAGGACAAGGGCGAGGATGTGATTGTGGTTATGATGTTCGCTGTTGGATATGTAATGAAGTTAGTCACACTTATCAACGTTATAAATATTTTCTAGATAAGCAACCTTCATTTTTTGGGTGGAGATCTTAGCATCAACAATGTTCTATTAGTGTTGTTATAGATGAAGATTTGGACACTAAGATTTTTTCAAGAAATAAAGAGTTGTGCGAGTAACAGAAGGTCTTTGTGCAAATAAGTTAGTGACCCCTCTATCTTTCTTTTAGGAGTATCATCACGAGGTTAATTCGACACCAATTCATCTAGTGTTTACTTTCCAAACTTTTTTTTATAACAAGATATCTCTTATTATTCTCTCTATGTTAGTTGATATATGCTTGAGTTTATTTTCTATTGCTTCGCTTGCTGCCACACATTGCCATCTACATTTGCATCCTACTATAAAGCCAAATTTCATTCTTTATGATAACATCCATACACATGTATTTACATGGGATCAGGTAGATTTAGTTGTGTATGTAGGCAATCTCAAGTTTGAGTTACACTCATTACAAGTGGTGTTGAGTCAAGCTTTTGACCTCATCTTTGATATAGATTTGTTACAATGCAATCATGCAAAATATGACTTTAAGACTTCTCCCCCTTATCTCATACTTCATTTTTTTTTTCTATTCCTCTCACTTTTGTTCTTCTTTGTCCCTTTGCTTCACCTCTACTTCTATCATTTTGTCTCCCCTTTACTTCTTTTTATGTTTCCGTTTTGTTCCTCTATTCCCTCTTTAAATCCCTCAAATAGTCTTTGTATTGTAATAGTTGACTAACTTATAAAGAAGTATATTAATCTTTTTAAATTGGACATGTTATCTAACGCTAAGATTGCAATAGATCATCCTATTCAAATTAAGGATGTTTGTTCAATTAAAGTTCATATTCATCGTTTGTCACTAAAAGAAATCAAGCTTTTAGGTAATGGTAGAGGAAGATATTCCTAAAATTGTTTTTCATATACTATTTGGTTTGTAATTTGATTTAAACAATGCTCTAGTGCAAATGATAGATGAGTTTCTTTGTGATATGCTATAAGTGATTATTGATTTTTTCGATAATGTCTTGATCCAGGTGGAGGGGAGATGGGAGGAAAATATCCGTAATATTCGTAAAGTGTTGGATCGGTTATGAAAAGTTAGTTTAAAGCTAAAGCAATTAAAGTATGTGTTTAAGTCCAAGGACACCACTTATTTTGGATACTATATTTCTCGTGAAAATTTGCAAATTAATCCTGATAAACTTGTGGTTATTCTCAAGTTTTCTACTCCAAAATGTGTGAATGATATGCAACACTTTTTAGGCAAAATGCAATATCTCAGCCGTTTTGTTAATCATTTTTTGATCATATTGCACTATTGCAAGCGTTGTTAAAGTTGTTAACATCATTTTTCATTTGGTCCGAGGACTGTGAGCAGGTGTTTACAAATCTAAAAGAGTTATTGATGACTTCTTTAGTTTTAGCATATTTTGATTACACTCAACTTTTCATTTTGCACATGAATGCTTCTGATATCAGTTTTACATGTGTGTTGATGCAAAAGAACCCGAGTACGCCTAATTAGTGCCATTATATACATTATCTATACATCATACAACCAGTGGAAATGAACTATTCCACGACAAAGAAGAAGTGTTTAACAGTAGTTTGGGGTTTTGAGAAACTTCATGTATATCTATATAATTCTTACTAAAAGGTGATTATGTTATGGTTACTTTGTTATTGAAGTGAAAGAACTTTGTTAATCGTACTACTGGTGGGTTTTGAAGCTTCAGATATATAATTTTAATATTAGTTATCGCTCAAAGAGTTTTATGATTGATGTTAACACCCTTTCTCGAACTCTTTTTCCTTTTTCACTTTCATTTTATATTTCTAATGAGCATTTTATTCCA